TAAAAATATAAACAAATCATAAGTAATTTATCTTTATCTTCAATTTTAGCAAAAAATATGTGCTCAAAGGGACACTTTATGAATCCAACTTTGAGAAAATAAACTTCGATGCGATTATACCATGCTAGTGAGTCTTATTTCAATCCATAAAAAACTTTATTTGATTTATACTCTTTATGTATACTTTTAACCATGACATAACCTAGTGGTTGTTCAATAAAGACCTACTCCTTCAAGTGTTCATGCAAGAATGTTGGTTTAATATCTAATTGGTAAATAGGTAAAGCATTTCTAGCCTACTAAAGTAATTGTGTCATATCTTGCAACTAGATAAAAGAAATTTGTATAACTGATCTCATATTGTTGTTTGTATCTATCAATTATACATTTTACTTGTCAACTTTACTATTATCTTTCAACTTTATCTTAAACATCTATTTTACACCAATAGTGTTGTATTTTTTAAGAAGATCACATAGTTCTCAGATATCATTTCTTTAAAAGGAATCAACTTCACCATCCATCGTCTTTCGTTACTTCTCTTCCTTGATAGCATTATCATGTATTGTAGGATCACAATATGCAAATAAAGTAAAATGAGTAATTGAATTGGGAATTCTAATTACATAAAAATCATCTATTCAAGCTAACCTTTTTTCTTATGGGGAGGTAATTCTTCTTCATTGTCATGATTTGTGTCAAAAGTTTTAATGTTTTTTTTAAGTAATTTTTTTCAAAATTAGAAGGGAATAAAGTGTGTTATTTCTCATCATTAAAATGTAACAATACTTGGGTAGATTCTTGTCTATTCCAATCCCAAGTATTTTCTTTATTAAAAACAACATTCATGCTATTGGCAATTTTTTTTACAAAGATTAAACAATTTATATGCTTTAGATACTTCCCTTACACCAACAAACACATTTTTTTAGATTTGTCATCAAATATCTTTCTTTTTCTAATTCGAAACATGAGCAAAAATAATGCATCCAAAAATTTTAAAGTGATATGCATTTATTTTTCTCCTACTCCAAATTTATTCAGGTGTCATATTTTAACAAACAAAAGTTGGACTTTTATTCAAAATATGAACACTCTAGTTTATTACTTATGACAAAAAATTCTTTGGAACCCTCACTCGTACAAATAAGCTCCCTACCAAATTCAAAATCGTCATGTTCTTTCTTTCAGGTACACCATTTTTTTTTTATGGTGTATTAATTACTTTGAGTTTTCTTCGTATATCATGTTTTGCACAAGAGTTGTCAATTTTTTTATCAATATTGACCACCACCATCATTTGGATGGGTTTTAATATTTTTCAAGCCTCATTTTTTATTCGAGCTTTAGACATGATGAATATAAAGAATACTTCAAATTTGACCTATAAAAATTGGACCCAAGATTTCCTTGAAAAATCATTAGTGAAGGTCACTAAATAAATTTTACCTTTGTTAGAAGATGAACTTATTCGATTATAAATATATGAGTGTACTAGTTATAACACATCCTTTACTTTCCATGAATTATTATATAAAAATGAGCACAATATTATTTGCTAATTAATACAACTCTCACATGCATAGGTAGGTGTTTAAATTTGAGAAAATCTTAAATCAAGTTCTTTTTGTTGAGAGTTTTTAATCCTCCAAAACTTAAATAACGAAAATGTTATAATCATGACTAGTCTTTGATTTCAACTACTAAGCAAGAGTTAAATAATTTCAATCTTTAACAAAAACAACATGTTGAAACTTATCTGCACAATAACAATAGTATCTCTAATAAGATCATATATTTCACAAGTACCTTATTTAATATTAATGACATAACCATTTTCCTCTAATAGACTAACATCAACAAGTTACTTTATAAGTGAGGGATGTACATTATATTACATATTGTTTCCACTAAATCATTATTGATTTTTATTTTAATGTTACCTTTACCCATCACTTCCATAGAAGAGAAACCATCAAAATTAACTATAGAAAAATCCTTATTTAAATAAAAGAAACAAAACTTATACCCACTCATATAATTGTTATAATCTATATCAACATACCAAATTTCTAAGTCAATTTTGTTTTCTTCATGAAAAACTACCAGCAAAGTTTTTTCCTCATTAACTTTTTTCACAAACGGTAAATTTTTCCCTTTTTTTTTATCATTAGGTAGTCAAGTATAACATTTAGAAGAACAATGACCATATTATGACATCTAAAACATTCTACCTAGATTTGGTATGATCTCATTCTTGACTTCTACTATGAAAATGGATATTATTAGCTTTAAAATATTTGTTTTCCTCTATATTTTTGTTGTCATCTTTATGTTTTTCATCTTTCTTCCTCAACCTCTATCATTCATTTTGTGTTGTTGAATTGGGTGTTTGTAAAAGCTTTCAAAGCTTGTTCATTTGTAATTTAATTTTGATTATTTTTTGTTTATGGATAACCAACAAATTTCATAGTTCATTAAGAGAAAGGATATGTCTTTTGACTCCTCAATGAAGTAAACAACATAGTTAAATTCTCATATTATGGAACATAGAATTTTTTCTACTATAATAACATTTTCAAATTTTTTTCTCCATGACATCTCATTTTGTTTGCAATTTCTATAGTCCTCCCAAAATATTACTAACAAAATCTCCATCTTTCATCTATAAAACTTCAAATTTATTCTCAAGGTTTGAAGTTATGAACGTTTCAACTTGGTTGAGCCTTATAACATTTTTTGTTTCATTGAATCCCAAATATCCTTAGAAATATTTTTGTAAAGAATAATCTCTAAGGTTGGAAAATCAATATCTTGAAAAGTATAAATTTTGGCCTTTAAATATTTGAGCTTTCTTGTCTCAAATTTTGTTTACTTGTCACAGTAATGGGTGACAATTGCCAATAAATCTTCTGATAGTAAAAAGTTCTCTATAAGCATATTCCAATGGTATTACTTCTTAGAAATTATAAGATATTTAACTCAACTCTACAAAATCGGTTCAGTAAGATGAAGATTGTACTCACTTATATAATATAATGTTATCATATCTTTAGTCAATATGAGATTTCTCAACACACCCCTTACATCGAAGAGGATTTTTTTCATTGCACTTTCTCGTATCGAGAATAAGTGATCCAATATTGGTGCAATAACAGGTGATCTAGTCCACTACGATTAAGATTAATTTTCCAACATCTTTAGAATTAACTATGATATTATCTTAAAAATAATAATATACCTAATTCAACCTACAAAACCAATTCAATAAGATGAGAATTGTACTTTTATATATATATATATATATATATATATATATATATTATAATATTATTATATATCTAATCGATGTGAAATTTCTAATAACAATTAAAACAAGAAATGAGAAAAAATTTATCTCAAATGGATAATCTAAAAATTTAAAAAAATATTAATAATTAGACAAAATGAAAAATAAGTCAATTAAAAAAAAACATTCTCTCATATAATAACGATTTGGGTTAAGTTCTTGTTTTATCTTTTAGACTGTTCATAGGTCAGTTTCATATAATTAATTGTTGTTTTAACTTGCACTAGTTTAGAGTCTAGTTTTCTTAACTGAACCCTTTAGAAAATGAGATATTTATAGAGTTACCCTTTTATTTCTTATGTTTTTGTCATAATACCTCTAGCTTCTAGAAACTACTTCAACCAATCTTTGTCCATTTGACTGTGTCAACTCCTTGTGACACTATTAACCCACTAGACCCGCATTAGACACTTGTTAATCCATAAATACCCATTTGAATGAAAAAAAAATTAGAAATTCATTTTATTACTATTCTAATTTCAAATACTACTATAATTATATTTACAAATTTAGAGATTAATTTACTCAGTCAAATATGTGAAAACAGCAATAAAAATAAATGAATAAACACTCTTCTACTCAAACTTACACTAATACGTGTTTCATTCCTCAGCAACATCATTTACAATATTTAGAAAAAAAAGTAATACGTATGTTTAGAGATTTAATTATATAAATTTAAATATTGTACATAATTCAAATAAAAAAATTATATAATAAATATAAGAAATATTAAATGATCTGGTTAAAAAAATTATATTACTAATACTAAATTATAATAAATACATTCTTTTTAAGATTTGTGTGGGTTTGGGATTATGAGGTGATAAATGAAGATTAAGGATACCTATTTGAATTAAAAAAAACATATAAAAAAATTAAACAAGTTTCTCCACAAATTAAAATTAATTTATTTACAAATGAGAAAACAAAAAATTGTTAAAAACTATTTGAAAAATATCTACATAGTAACTTTTCTATAAACTAATTTTGACAGATGAAAGACAATTATTATTATTTTTATATATCTAAACATCATTTAAATCAATGTAAAAACAGAATTCAAAATTCAAAATAATTGTTAGAAGAACAAGTGAACTGAATCTGTTTGCAAGGGTGGGTGGGAGTTCCATTTGTCAAACGTGTGTGTATGTGTAGGTGAGCAAAAATTAATTATGGATTCAGTGCAAGATCTTATCTTTTCATCAACGTGAGTTCAAATCTCATAACCTACTTTATCTATTTGGTGAAATTTTCTCTCTAAATAAAACCCTTTATGACCTAAGTTTTTTTTTTGTTTTTTTCTTAACATTAACACCTAAGGATTAGTTAAATAATCATCTACATCTCAATCTCTACCGATAATTCATTGATGTCTTTAATAGTTTATATGTGTCTACTCATCTACCACTTTTTACACTTCAATTATTTTTATAATATTTCACAAAATATTATAATGCTTCAAGTATTTCAAGTGGTGTGCAAAGTGATAACGGTTAAATGTCAAGAGCCAAAGTCTTAAAAACAATAAAGCCTTTATAATGCTTCAAGTATTTCAAGTAGTAACTATGTTGACATCATACCAAGATAATCCCAGAAGAGAAAATGTAGCACAAGTTAAGTGCTGCTCTGCATGCTTTTCTTTTCTTGGTTACAATTTGGATGAACCAATGGATTGAGCATAATCAACTAATTCTCTTCTCAAAATTTTTCCAGCAGGAGATTTTGGGATAGAATTCACAAAAGAAACACGCCGTATCTTCTTGTATGGAGAAACCTGCATGAGTAAGCATACTTAAGCAACATGGCAAGAGGAAAAACAGAAACTAAAGTAAGACTTGTTCAAAGGAACATTTAGGTTTTAAGGGTGTTTATTACTGAACACATGGTTTCAGAAGCACACCTGCTTTGCCACAAACTCCATGATCTGATCTGCAGAGATGTTACTTCCAGGTTTTCTTACTACAAAGGCCATAGGAATCTGTCCTGCTTCTTCATCTGGGTACCTGTTGCCAAAAGATTAGTAGACTTAGTGAACCTTGTAACAAGACCAAGTTATTCATGTTAAGGGGAAGTGAATTGCCCGCATTAACAACACCTTCTTTTGGATCGGATTTGGCTTCTCTAAGCTCAGCAAGGATGAAGTAAGTAATCTCAGTTCATGATTAACAAATTAACTGTTGATATACTATCCACCATTGCGACTGAGATTATTTACTTTCTATTTTCTATAATGATTTGTTCACTTTAGAGGAGCCAATGATATAATAACTAACAGTTTAAAGACAAGAAGAGAAACTTTGATTCTCTAAGAATTGGAAATGAGAAAGCAAATTTAAAATTGTAAAATCACTCTCAATGAAGAAAACTGATCTGCTTCTGAACACACAAGATTAAAGGATTAGATTCGTACGGAACTACTGCAGCATCAGCGACGTGAGGATTGGTGAGAAGTATATGTTCCAATTCAGCAGGGGGAACCTGGATATGGCTTGAGAAAGTAATAAGAAAAATGGAAAAGTAGTAATATCCAAAAAAAGATGTTGGTGGAAATAACGTCTCACCTGATAAGCTTTGTATTTGATCAATTCCTTCAGTCTATCTACAATGTAGAGGAAACCATCAGAGTCAAAATAACAAAGATCGCCAGTCTTCAGCCATCCCTCTGAATCCAATGTTTCATCTGTCGCCTTCTCATCTCCTACATAACCTGCACCGCCGAGACCATAACCATCACGCCATACATGAAACATATTACATAAGTAATGTTGAGTATACAAGGTGAGTTAAGTCTTACGAGTAAAAATGAAAAAGATAAGTAACGTGTAAGGAAATATAACTCATAACCTATTACTTTAAGGATTTGGATTAAGAGTAGTGTGAATCTCTTAATTGGGTTGAACTCATAACTCATTCATATTGTTTTTTCTAGTAAATCCCCTCCAAAGATCCAACAGACCATAACGTGATTAGGTTTTTCTAGTGATATGAACATTTTCTTCACTACTTAATGGTATAATGCAATGAAGATGAATAAGTCTTGTCTCAGATTACATTGGATGTTGCGAAATGCTAATCTGAAAGCACATTTTCACCAAATAGAAAGGAAATAGCTAATAAATAACCTTTCATGATTGATGGACCTCGAATCCACAGTTCCCCTTTTTGGTTTGGAGGTAATGCCTCTCCAGTAACAGGGTCCACTATCTTAGCCTCCATGTTTTCTGATAGTCGACCCACAGAACCATGGCGCTTAAACTCATCAGGACCCAACGTTCTAGCTGCCCCTCCTGCACTTTCAGTCAGACCATAGCCCTGGGGTTAAAATAATAATAACATCAACAAAATAATAGATTAAGAAACAAATTCACAATTCAATACTCTTGTGATGTTATACAGTTAATAAACAAATTCAAATTCAATAATAAGAAATACTGCATCATTACATAGAATCAAAGACTTACCTTCGATCAGACTTATGTGGGAGGACTTACCTTGGAACAAAATAATTCGTTGTTTTTCTTTTCATTTTTTTTATCCTATGTTTGTTTTTTCTTTCCTTTATTTTTCATTTATTTTAGTAATTAAAATTTAATAAAAATATGTTAAAGTAAATTTTTAAAAATTAATATTAAAATTACAAAATATCAACTATTATTTAAAATAATAATAATAATAAGTTTATTTATTATGATAATAAATAATTTTATTTATTATAATAATAAATAATTTTAGTTACAATAATATAAATAATTTAACATTATTTTATTATAATAAATTAATTATTCATTTAATTAAAAAATGTAATTAAAAAATAAATATATTCTTTATTTAGTAATTTAATCTAATTATAATTAAATTGAGTTATAATAATTAATTAGATTAAATAATTTAAAAATTATTTATTAAAAAAATATTTTAAAATAAATATTTGTTTTTTTCTTAATAATTATTACATAAAAATAATATTTATAACATCTCAAATTTATTATATAATATTTTTTAATATAATATACTTAAATAATTTAAATATTTATATTTAAAAAAATATTTATGAAATTTTGATTTAATATTTTAATTAAAAAATAAGATAAAATTTGAGAAAAATAAAAAACGAAGAAGAAAAAAATTACTATATTATATTAAACGAAAATAAATAATAAAATATATAATTAAAAAAATAAATCATAAATTTTATTTTTTACAATATATTAGTAATAAGATTATTTTGAAAGATAAAAAATAAATAATATACTGAAAAAGTTTTAAGGAAAAATATAAATTATTATAAATAGTTTTAAATTAAATATAAATTTTGAATCAAATGTTAAACATGCAAAATATAAATTATTGTGGGGCCATTGTCATAAAAAAACAGAGTCCGTGTGAATGAAAATATTACCACCAGACACGCATTCTAATGAAAGCCTTTTTCTCTTTCTTTTTTTACTTCGAGTTGTGATTTTGTTTAATAAAGGAAGAACAAAATGTTAGTGAAAGACATAAATATTACCAGTGCGGGTTTTTTTGGGAGATCAGTGTTAAGATAGATGATTTTATCTTCATATTTAATAATTATTTTTAAATTTTTATAATTTATACTAATATTAATAATTTTAATTTTCTTAAATTTAATAATTATTATTTATTTGTATATTTATAAATTTCATTTTTATTTTTAATATATTATTATTATTTTTATATATTTTTATTTATTAATAATATATTATTTTACTTATTAATATTAAAATTATAATTAAATATTATTTTATGAATTTAATAATTAAATAAATAATATAAAATTATTTATACTATTATCTACTTCTAAACATTGATGTAATTTTTAAAATAATTATTATAAAGAAATACAACATGATTGTTTGTAATTTAACGAGAATGTAAATATATCTCGTTACTCCCTGCACCTCTTAAAGGATTCGCATTAAAGTTTTAATTTTTAAAGTAAGTTTAGTAAAATAGTTTCACTCTTTTAATAAATCTATTTAATTAGGACATATATCAATTGTATGTTAATTAAATCGAAGTAAACTAAAAAATAAAATTTATGTAAATTAAAACTGAGAACAAATTTATTTATTTTTATTAATTATGTTATAAATGTGAATTAAATATTTATCCATGAATAGAATATAATAATAAAAAAATCGTCAAATCTTTTAAAAAAATAAGATATTGAAAAATCAATGTCCTACCATGACTGGATGGTGGAAAAAGGTAAAAAGTGTTCACCTGAGCAATTTCAACGTGGGTGAATTTGGCTTTGAAGTCGTCGGCGACCTGCTTGCCGAGCGGGGCGCCGCCGCAACCAATTATCCGAAGCGATCTGAGGTCGTACTTGTTCACGAGCTCCGACTTGGCGAGGGCCACCACGAGCGGCGGCGACACAGGCATCACTGCGATTTTATACCTCTCTACGGCTTTGAGCATCCCTTCGAAATCGAATCTCTGCATCAGAACGAGCGTCTCCCCTACGGCCATAGACCTAACCAGCATGAAGAACCCGAACACGTGGAACAGCGGAAGCGTGAACAGTGACACGGGATGCGGCTCCGCTTCGTCGGCTTCGCTCAGCGCGATGCTCCTCAGGTGATAGAACCCACCTATAACTGCGATGAGATTGCGGTGCGTGAGTAACACGCCCTTCACGCGCCCTGTGGTGCCCGAGGAGAAGAGAATCGCGGCGGTCTCGGACTGACTCAGTTCGACTCGGGAAGCGCGCGAGTGTGAGTCTGCGTTAGCGTCGAGCATGGAGAGGAAGAGCGGGGAGTCGATGAGAACGGTGCCGAATTTGAGGGAGGGGATCTTCGTGGCGGCGGTGGAGGTGGCGAAGGCAATGGTGGGTTTAGCGAGTCGGACGAGGTGAGTCACCTCGGAAGGGGAACTGAGCGGGTTCGCAGGTGCGATTGTGACGCCAAGCGAGAGGAGAGCGAAGTAGAGTACAGGGACGTATAAGGAGGTTGGGGTGAGGATTAGAGCCACGTGGCCTTTGGAGAGAGGGGTGAGGGATTGGAGTGAGGAGGCCAGGGATTTGACTTGGCGGATGAAGAGGGAGTAGGAGAGGTGGCGGTCCGTGGCGGCGTCGATGAGGGCGAAGGTCTCGGTGGTGGTGGCGGCGGCTGGGAGGAGGGAGAGGGCGTAGTCGATGATGGAGAGCGGCTGAGCAGGCGGAGGGAGGGGGACGTTTGGACGGAGGCTGTGGAAGATTCTAGAACGAGAACAGAAGCCGCTGTTTGGGTCGATGGTCGTGTTTGGATTTGAGTGTGTGGCCATAACTGAAGTACAAAGGGGAAAGTATTAACTATTCTTTGTCAGTGTTAGCTGTTCTTCTTGCTAAACCTATCTAGCAATTTCTACTGTTATATATATAGTGTTGCATTGTTACCCGCCACCATAATCACTTGCAGCTCCATTTGTGTTACTACAGAATTATTTTTTTTAATTAATCGTTTTAATTTTAATCTAAAATATAATATATGACAATTATAAAATATAGAATTTTGGTATGCACCTGTAAAGACTATTTTACCCTTCATTTGACTCTCCATTGAATCATTATTATTAAAAAAATATTCAATTTAATGTTATGACATGACTGCATTGCACACTATTCAACGCCCTATGGAAGTTCTGTAAAGTTACGTGTTAGGTAAGTTTTGAAAAAAAGAAAAATTACTAAATGATAAAAATATTATAAAAACTTATTACATTATATAAATACATCTATAAATAATAAGTACTATAATATAAGCACACAATACTTAGGAAAAAATATTTAAATAAACTGGGTACACTTTTTAATCTTAAAACATAGTAAAAAACTATTATTATCATAAAATCAATTCGTTATAATAAAAATACATGATAAAAAGAAAATATCAAGACACCAACACATGAATGAAAATTTATGAAATTTTTACAAGCTGTAATCCGACTTATTACTTATTTAAATATTTTCTTTTCATTACATATTTCTTAACGTATTTTAATCAATAATTGTTAAGACTCTATGTGTCTTAAATATTTTTAAGTTGACTATATTTTAGAATACTTCAATAAAAAAATATTTTAAATATTGAATATTTTTTCAAAATAATTTTACCATGAGTATTTTGAAAGTAGGATAGACTCATTCATCTAGTCTAATTCGAAAACTAATTTTTTACTAAAAAAAATCAGATTATAAAATTTAAAAATTAATAATAAAAAAAGCTTGAACTTTTTAGTGAAATAATTTTAATAAAAAAATTATAATATTATTATTTTACGATTAATTTTAAGTTTAAATAATAATTATTTTATTATATTTATATTTTATGTTCATGATTATCAATTTTTATTTTTTTTAATATATATATAAATATTTTATTATTATTATTATTATTATTATTATTATATATAATCTATAATTTAGGACAACTATATTATTTTTTTCTACTATATTCGTTTTTATTTTTTTCTTTTTAAATAATTTTTTGTCATTAATAAATTTATTATATTATTACAATTAAACTTGACTTTAACCTGTACATATCAACTCATGTATTCCTCGTTTTAAAACATTAATATTTTTGTTGAAAAAATTATTCTATTAATAAAAATAATTATTTTTTTAATTATTGATTAAAAAATACATAACAAGTAGATTTTATTTGTTTTAAATCATTATTTTTAATCCTGTAAAAACATTAATTTTAATTTATAATATTATATAATACTAGTTAATATTTATGTTTTGAATATTATAATTTTAGTATAATGTTAACATTTCATAGTAAAAGACTCTTTCTAAAAATAAATATTATTTATATTTTAAAATAAATATTACAGAATAATAGTGATTTTAAATTTTAGAGAAATAAAAGTTATAAAACATATTCATAAATATTAAATTCAAAATTCTAATGTTTCAGAAACATCAAACAATTATTTTAAATTTTATAAAATCAAAACTTCTAATTTTACATAAAACAAAAATATACTTTAATCTTAAAAATTATATACAGACAAAATATAAAAAATAAGGAGTGACATATTGACATGTTATTGTCGTTAAAATATAATATAGCCATAAATATAAATTACTAAATTATATTTGAAAGATTATAATTTAAAAAAAATACGTTAATCTTTATTTATTAAACGGCTATGTTATAATCTGTGGCATTTATTGCTTTGTTACATTAGTATTTCTATAAAATATTGAAAATAAATATAATTAAAAATATTTACAAAAATATTAGAAAATTAAATGGCAAAATTTATTCACACAACCTCGGTATTCCCTTTTCGTCACTCCCCAACATGCTTTCTATTAATAACCTAACACAAATAATGTTATTTTTTCAAGTGCAACATAAGATCATTAAGCAAGTCTTAATTATATATTATTATTATAAAACCTAACTACTTTGAACAGGGTATGAAAAATATTTTCATATTTAATTATTTTTTTAACATCCCATGACAGTTAAATTAAAGCATAAAACTAAATTAGGAAGAGATATAAATACTTTAATATTTATACTACACATCTAAATATTTTAAAAAAAAATTATCTAACATATTTATATACATTTTTTAAATAAAATATTAAAATATAAAATTTATTGTACTCTTCCTCAATAATATAATGTTCGGATTGATTATCTTAAACATCATCCGTTTATGTGTGATAATTCGGTCATCGTAATTCAAATTAATACATCATATAAATTAGGATAAATTAATGATAAAAAAATTTATTCAAATAAGTATCATGGTATTTTAAATGTCCACATCATGAATAAATAAATCAAGCATAATGGATATACGATAAATTAAGTATCGCATTTCCTAATTTGAAAGTTATATGCCTTGTTATCATACACTAATATTCACAATCTCATACACTTTACTCTTTTAAAAGATTCACATGTATTAAATTGAACTCAAAGATTTGTGTTATGAACACATTAACCCTTGTATTCGAGAATAAGACACCTCTCAAAAATTATACAAAGTATACGAAGAATAATGTTTTTTTTTTTTCTCCACCACTTTCATTCCTCCAAATTGCCTTTATAAGCTAAGTACAAAGCATAACCCACAAAAGAAGGAAAAGTTGTAACAAAATTGATACCGAAAATATTTAGGCAATTATATATGACAGAGTGACAAATTAATAATAAAATATATATAAATTGAAAGTGCATTAGTCTCTGGAGTGAATGGACTTTATAATGGTTCTCTTGTGTCTATTGTTATCAATTGTCATGTACTCTCTATCATTACTCCCCTTTTCGAAATCCACCTTGTCCTTAAGGTGATGTATATCATGTAGCTTGTCTCACTTCTCCCATGTTGAATCATGTGGAGATAGTCTAGACCATTAAACTAGTATCATGCACAAAGGTGGTGAAGTAGAAGTGTCCCATTTAGATTGTAAAATAGCCAGTGGGGTCACCAAAGGACGCTTATCAAAAGATAATTCAGGAAAGGTGTCAGGCACAACAAGAAGAGGTCCCTTGTGAGGCTTAGGAAGAGAACAATGGGAATCTGGGTGAATTTTGGAAGTGGGTGAAGTGTCAACTTATAAGTCATCGGTCCAATATGTTCCACAATTTGAAAGGGGTCGAAATAGCGCTTGGAGAGCTTAGAATAGGGGGTGCCAATAACAGAAGTTTGATGATAAAGGTGCAATCTAACATAGACTCAATCATAAATTTGGTAAGAAACACCACGACGCTTGTGGTCACCCTGGTTCTTCATGGTTAAGTGGGCTTTTTGAAACTTACGGGTCAAGACATCCAACAAATCTTGATGCTATGTTAACATGTGATCTACTGGTTCCACAATAAAGGATCTCAGCAAATAATGTGGAAGGGAGAATAGCCCATTGCATAGTGCACATAAGTATTATAAGATCATTCAGAAAGTGACAAGAGACGGGTCAAACAACAAGGATGGTTATGAACGAAATTGCGAAGATATTGTTCAAGCACAAGATTAATTACCTCCGTCTGACCATTACTTTCTGAGTAATAAGAGGTGTTCATTAGAAGTTTAGTACTACACATTTTGAAAAGTTCATTACAAAACTTGCTAACAAAAACAGGGTCACAGTTTGAAACTAAACTTTGAGGGATCTCGTGATGTTTGCATACTAGATCAAAAAAAGGTTGAACAAGTTGGAAGGCAGTGCAATGAGAAAGCAAGGTGCCAAAGTGAACTCCCTTCAAGAAACGATTAACCATGACTAAATGATAGTGCACCCAGAAGAAATGAGAAGACTAGTAATTATGTCTAAAGAGAGGTCTTCCTAAATAACGTGTGGAATTGGTAAATGTTGGTGCAAGCCTGAAGGAAGCTTGGTTTCATATTTAGTTTGTTGGCAAGTAGGACTAATAAAGAGTTTAACATCTCTACACATGTTGGGTTAGTAAAAATTCTCCTATAAACGTGCAAGTGTTTTAAATATGCCCATATGACCAGCCAAAGGTGATTGATGAAATTCTTGCAATAACAAAGTGCAAAATTTTAATGAAGAAGGCAACCAAATTCTTTCTTTAAAAAGATCAACCCATTACGAAAATGGTAATTGGCATGATCAACATGGTGTGCTTGAATATTACTTATGAGATGAAGAAATTCATCAATAAGGGATAGACTTTTACGCAAATCATCCAAGAATGTAAAATGAGGTGCTGACAAAAACAAACATTGGCCCACGTGATCCACATGTGTCCGAGATAAGGTATTTGTAACTACATTATGGTGACCAGCCCTATATTGTATGGTATAGTCATAACCCAATAATTTTGAAAGACAAACTTGTTGTTTTGGGGTGTAGACCCCAAATCTTGCCCGACCTCCAAATAAAGAGTAAAAGACTTCCTATTCGAAGATGGACGAAGCCTAACAAGTCACTAGGAGAGACTATTAGGCCCCATACTAAGATAGGAAGGATTTTCGGCACAAAAATAAGTTTTCTCGCCTTTTTGGGACGAGACCGCCAGTCTCGCAATTGAGGCCGCCGTCTCGCCTCGGGCAAGTGGCGAGACGGCGATCTCGCTTTCCCGAGCGGCGGTCTCGCCACTGCGAAGGACGAGACGTCGGTCTCGTTTGGCGAGACGGCGGTCTCGACCCTGTCGGAGACGAGAACGGCGGTCTCGCCACTGCGGCGCGAAAACCTATAAATAGGGGCCTCCCCCCTCATTTCCACACACCACACAGCTTTAGCTCTCCCTTCTCTCTAAAACCTCTCTCTAGAATCCCTCAGACGCATTTCGGAG